GTCGAGAGATAAAGAATTTTTTTGATACGGGATCAAAACATTTGTAACCCTTGTGGCGATCACTGTAACCTACAAACACACAAAGAAGTGATTTAGGATTGAATTTATTGGTTTTTGAGTCCCAAACAAACGGAAAACACTTCGAGCCGAAGAATCGCAAAGAAGAATAATCAGGGTTTTTATTGTATAATTTAAAGTATGGGGTGGAAAAATTAAGCGCTGAGGATGGGAGACGATTAATGAGATACACAGCCGTGGTAAACGCTTCGACCCAAAGGTAGAGTGGAACACGACAGTGAAAATGCATTGTCATGCCAATCTCCCGAATTATGCGATGTCGACGTTCAACAATGCCGGATTGTTCCGGTGTATACGAACACGATACTTGATGGACAACAGCTGTAGCAAGAAAATGAGTTGAGAGTTGATTATTAATAAACTCGCCACCACCATCAGAATGGAAGATTTTGATCGTTTTATTAAATTGACGAAGAACATATTTCTCAAATTCCAAATAAGCGGAATAAAAATCAGATTTGTTTTTTAAGGGAATAAGCCATGTATATTTCGTGTAATCATCAAAGAGACAGGCATAGAACCGAAACTTAGCAAGAGAAACAATCGGGGCTGGTCCCCAAAGGTCACAATGAATTTTTTCAAACATGAAACTAGACTGATTGGAAGAAGAATCAAATGGAAGTTTGTTTAATTTGCCTAATTGACAACTATCACACATGTGATTTGATCTCAGTGAACCAGTAACCCTAATGAGACCATTCTTATTCAAGCGAGAAATAGAAGATTCTTGAGGATGTCCTAAACGTTGGTGCCAAAGATTGACGCTGCTGGTCTTAAAACGATAGGAAAAATGTGCCGCGGGTTGATTGGAGATGGTGTACAATTCACCCTTCTTGGCGCCCTTCATTAGTAGCTGGCCTGTTTTCCGATCCTTAATGAAGAAATCAGAGTTAGAGAATTCACAATTAACTGGCAATTCCGAAGTTAACTGACCAACAGAGGGAAGATTCCTTTTCAAATGAGGAACAAACAGAATATTAGATAATGGTAGCTTATGATTATTCTGCTGGAGAAAAGTATCACCAATAACTTTAATTGGTAGAGTCGAGCCATCGCCAAACATTACAGAATCATGGCCAGTATAAGGATAGGTTGAGGACAACATACCTTCGATACCTGTAATGTGGTTGGTTGCGGCAGAATCCGAAGACCAATCGTGATCAATCACCGAATTATCCAGCGTGAGAGCAGCGAGAGCCTGAGGGAGAGCACCATCAGAAGGAGTTGGAGAGGAAGACTGAGGAAACAACCAACAAATCTTTGCAATGTGTCAACCACAATATTGACACGTTTCATTTCGATACAAATCCCTTTTAGCAGGAGTCATGTGGCGAACACCAGGAGGAAGATTACGACGCGACTGAGATGATCGAGCAGGCTGCGATGAAAGAGAAGAGGCAGAATGGACTTGTTGGGCTGAAAATTCGTGACCCTGAGAAGTGAAGTGAGGATTCTTGGAAGACGGTGACTGAGAGGGCTTTGATTGATGACTGTAAAAAGCAAGGTGAGGGACAGGAGATGACAAAGAAACTTCGGAGTGAGTTTTGAACCAGTTACGCCTCTGATCAAGGTTCTGGAGTTGATCAATTAATTCGGAATAAGTAGGTCTTGGCGGTTTAAGCATCGTAGTGGTGAAAGTCTCGTATTGAGGACCGAGACTATTGAGAAGACAGTACACCTTCTCTTGATCTGGAATTGGTTTACCAATAGCAGTGAGACTATCACACAAACGTTTAAATAAACGAATGTGATCTGCGATGGATTTGCCTTCGTCTTTGCGAAGGTAAGTGAGTTGCTGCCGAAGCGTGAACTCCCGTTCTTGTGAATTGCGGGCATATTCATCTTTGAGAGCAGTCCAGACGGCATGTGCAGTATCAAGGCTGATGACAAGGCAAAGCGAATCTTCTGAGAGTGTGCCCAAAATCCATCCTCTCAGAAGTCGATCAGCCTTTTGCCAGGCAGTGAATTTCTGAACGGACTCCGACGATGCTTTGTCAGAGGCAGAGTCAGATTTGGTGGGATCAATTTGGGGTAAATCAGTGAAATGATTGATCACCTCTTGACTTTCAGCAAGAGCAATCACTTGTTCACGCCAAAGAGGATAATTGTGTTGCGTGAGTTTCAACGTGACAAAATTGCCGACGTTGAGGGACATGGATGAAGAAGCCATAATCAAATCAACAAGAAAGAGAATGAAGTGGAAGCAAAGGAGCAGGAGCACACCTACTACTGATATCAAGAGAAAAATCCTAAAATTGTAACGGGTGAGAAGAACATAAAATTGGACTTCTTTTACTTTTTTTTTGGCTTAATACAACACAGTAGTCTTTGTTCTTTATTTATAGACTATTTACCACACATGTGATATTTGGTAAACTAGTCTATAATTACCTAAGATCCTAACTATTAATTTTTACAGAAGGAAATAATTATTTTGTACAAGATTGAGATACTCGAAACTAATTGTCACCATCTATTCCTTTTTGAGTATGATCATCCTTATCACTCCATGATTGATTATCCTTATCACTCCTCGTACTCAATGAATCAGAGATCATTTGAGGGTTATCTTCAACAGTATTAAGGCTTCATACACAAAGTTACAGTAGTTTGATGTTACGATGCGGTTCGGATCACACCAATATATATCCGTGCCAAATTATAAAAAAAGTTGACTTTTCATCTCAAAATTTAATAACTCATATAAGAATTGGTATTGGAATATTTGTTCCCCATAGTAGAGTAATTGTTCAGTAATTATCATTATCTTTTTCGAGGAAATATTGTAGCGTAATTCGATTCAAAAGAAAAAGGGGATAAAAAAATTTAGTGAAGAAGACCCTCCATAGACCTGCTCCTCTATTAGAGTATCGATTAATTAATTAATAAACGAAATTCAGGTTTACCGAAAATGGTAACCCAGTTATACATCTTTTAGCTTAGCTTTACTGTAAGAAGATAAATCTTCGTCATGTCGTCACCGATATTAAGCAAAACTGACACACAACTCACATGATCTTTGACACATTTCTGTCGAACACTGACAAACTTTACATTCATCCATTTTCTAGTCTTTGGCGTGCTTGGATGATTCAATGTACTACATCTGAGAATGTTAATTTTTTAATGAACCCAAAATGTTTCATGTCCATCATTTTGGCTGAAATTTCGACCACTTGAAAAGATATCATTTAATTTCTGCTAGAGATCGACCAATCGAACCATTATCGGCTACAAAAATAGTAAGGTTTTAAAGAATGAATCATCCACAGTTAGTCAAAGCGTGGTTGGAATGAAGGAACATATGCATAATTATATTCAATATAAATAAAAAGATTAAAATTGACCAATTGAACTGCACAATGTAACTTTTATCTTTGGAATGAAGGAACATATGCATAATTATATTCATGTGCTTATCTTTAGTGAATTTTTGCTTTCCTAGTAATTAGAATTAGTTAAATCTCCACTCTAGATCTCTCTAAGAAATTGACTTAGATACGTACGTGCAGACTAGTATCGCATCCTCGCGGCTAGTTAAATGTTAGGACACACGATATAATTTTCCATCGATATTGTTAGGTTAACCGCTATGATTCAACACATTTCGTATGTGATGTTAGACTCCTTGTTTAATGTTTAGTAGAGTACATGATCATGCATGTCATGTGCTAACTTAACTTGTGATGGTGATGGATAATTGATTGATTAACTAATTTGGTCGATTAATTTGGGATTATGTTGATAATTGAATCCCCTAACTACTTTAAATTAAAAACTAGATTTTTTTTTGTTTTTTATTTTTAACTTCTATGATTCGGAGCAGAGTCAAATAATCAATGAAAGCTCGTGAGCAATCTTCTACGGGTGTAACTGTGAACACTCCCATTATGTTCATACGTTGAGATCTCATTATTTCATGAAGTTCTTTTATCCAATAAAATTTTATGCTTTGTAAATGGGTGGTAAGGTTGAATATACAAAAATTTTACTAAACGAGTCATTGTCCGATTGAAAATTTTAAATTATTTACTTAATTTTGCGTAAAATATGTGTGTGTCTGTTTTTTTTAAAAAAAACTCTTGTCTGACCCTGATATAAGGCAAAGATTTTCTGTCATTTTTTCGTATTACGCAGTACAAGTCAACATATTTTTGTACTTGTTGAATCACTTACTGAATAAAGTTCACTAGTGTTATAGAGAATTAGAGCATGCAAAGTATTAAGAATAAATCAAATTTGACATAAAAAGGGCTTAAGCAAGCAGTATACTTATTCCGATTGATTGTGACTTATTTTTCTTTGTGGTTCAAAATAAGAAGCAATTTAACCGGTTCACTACATTATTAAGATTAATCTCCACTAGAGTCAGGTAAATCTATTTGGAAATCAAAACTCATACAACAGAATTTTCAGCTAGTATTGTCAATTTTTTCCTAACTATTTTTTTTTTTCTCCAGGAAACCAAAAGAGATGGATAGTTGTACTAATTTTCATTCTGTAATAATTATCTTTTTTTTTATTACATTATTTTCGACAGAACAAATACGGTAACCAGCGTAAATGGTTTGACCCTGTGATCTATTACAAACAAAAGTAGAGTATTGAGTTGAGGCATGCAAATAATGTTGAGATCATGTGACAAGGATTGTAAATCCCATATCAGAGAAATGAGAACATGTGAATCAGTTAATAAATAAGGTAGACTCAGAAACCATTAATTTAAGTTTTTAGGTCCAGATGGGTTTTATCTTACTTATTTGAGTCAGGTTTTCTTTCCCGGACAAATTCCAACAACTAATAATATGCATCTTCTTCCATTGCATCATCTATCAGTCAAACAAATTAATAGACGAGTTGGTACAAAATGTGGGGTTCATGAACCAACTTTAGATTCTTTTTACCAGCCCAAAATATACCCAATTAATATCATCCATTGTATTTTTGGGTACAATATAATCCATTATATTAAACTGCAAGTGATTCTCAGCTACAAAATTGGCACGAATATTACAAAACCAAGTCACGAGAGGTTACAAGACAACTAAGACAAAGGGACCAATCTCTCTGACTTACTTACATAACAGTCCTCAATTTCAGTTACCTTTTTACATTATCCTTCTTTGGCTTCATTATCAACAAACTGTTCTTCTTCTTCTTCTTCTTCCACAAACCAAAAACCTGCCCTGTAATTCAGTCAGAGAGCATTTTTAAGCAAATCAAAGCTTCCGATATTCAGGGTTCATCTTCATTTCCTTCTTCTTCAATGGCCGCATTATCAAAGTTTGAGCCATTTGTGTTTGCGCGGTTTCTCCTCATATTTCTTTTCTCAATTCAGATGGCCCTTCACTTTCATGTTGTCCCAACTATTGCCCTGAGAATTGGGGTTAATTTGGAACCGTCAATCCAAGTGGTAGTATTATTATTATCCCTTCTAACCCTTTTTCTCGTTTGGATGATTTCTCACTCTTTAATTTATCTTCATTAAATCGTTTGTTCGTTTCCCCTGTTTTTGCAGAAGAAAGAATGCAGCAGAAAATGTGAATCCAAGTATTGTGGACGTAAGTTTTTACTAGTTCTAACCTTATTTTTTGATACAAAGAAAGTGCCCCAGCCTGAAAAGCTCCTCATATTTTGGTAATGATTACATGATAGTTAACACCTTTTTTTTTGGGGGGGTGGAATAATAGTGGCTCCATTTCTAAGATATGGGAAGTACTGTGGAGTTCTGTATAGCGGATGTCCGGGGGAAGCTCCTTGTGATGGCTTAGACGCTTGTTGTATGAAGCATGATCAGTGCATTCAAAGGAAAAATAGTAAGTTAAATTTCGTTAATCTTCATATAATTATGTGGAGCTATTTTGCTTATGGGATTTTTTTTCTGTTTCAAAATAATTTAGTCTGTAAATAATTATTCGGTGACGGAGCGGGGAAAAAAAAACTTGTTGGTTTCTTGCTATTGTCCTTTTGATGAACATTTAAAGAGATCTAATAGGATTGATTTCTAGAAAAGTATTGACTCTGATACGGTGAATTAATTCTATTAAGTTAAAGCCAAACCAAGAAGATTTGACAGTTACAATTAATTGAAAAAATGGAGGTACACGATCTTGGAAAAAGTTAATTTGGTCATTTGTCCTTTTTGCAAAATGACAAACAATGCTTGATAATTATTGAGTCACATGCACGTAGTAGAACCGTAAGTCCCACTTTGTTGGTTACTTTTCTAATCGATGACTTGTGATTTAGAAACTGCTTCACAGCTATAAGGACAACTATTTGGATTTAAGTAAAAAAAGAAAATTATGACAGCGACCTAATAAATTTAAATAATTAATGAAATTTGATGCATAATCCCAGGTTAGATGTCTCTCACAAGATAAGGATGACTTATTCCCCACACAAATCACCCAGTTCACTTTCTCTTACTATTTTAGGGTAATAAACCGAAATTTAAAAACGAGACCCAAAACCAAAAAGTATATATAAATGTCGTCCAGAAGATTTAGTCCTTTGTGCCGTAGTTTTTCTCAAGGGTACTTCAAGAAATTGATATAAAGGTTGGTCAAGTGTTAGTGATTCCTAAGAGAAGTGGGTAACATGCTAAACGAAATACGAAAAGAAGAAAGAAATTAATGTTGAGCAAAAGCCTTAGAAATTGAAAAAGTTGCCCAAAGGGGAAAACTCCACGAAAGGGAAAATTAAGGACGGAGGTTCCTTCTTGTCTTCAAGTATTTTGGATCCTTTCTTAGCGTTCAACATCAAAATTCAATATATTAAACTTAATACTCTTCTTTTGTGCTACAAGAATAATCTTGTAAATTGTCAATAGTACAGTATTTTTTTAAAATACAATTTGTAATTTATAATATGAACAATTTTTGAGAGACTAATCAGTAAATAATGGATATGGGTTTTATTTCGTAATATAAGAGTACTTTTATTCCACCAACACTTAAATAGTGTTAGCCATATTTGGATTAGTGGGTTATTATCATTGCTGGCCCCATTACAGATTAATATTTTTCCAAATTAGTTTTATTTCTTTTCCAGCTAATAAAGCCTCTCTTGCTGGCCCCATTACAGATTAATTCAACGTCAGTTCCTCCTTTTTCATTTAAAAAATAGAAAATATATAGCAACTCATAATGGATTATAAGGTCTAATGCTTAAAAATGTTAAATATTTTTCGATTATATATGCATACGGTAATTGGAATGCTGAAGGTACACAGTTAAAGTGTTATTTGTTTAGATGGGGTATTTGACAAGTGTGTGTAATTTGTTTTATTATTACTTTTTTTTTTATTGGATATGAAACTTCTGCTTTTACTAATTTGGATTTGAACAAGGTCGGTTTCTCTCGTAATATGTTGTTCAATATTTTGCAGATGACTACCTCAATGAGGAGTGCAACCAAACCTTCCTGAACTGCGTGAATGCTTTCAAGAAATCCAAAGCTCCGACGTTTCATGGGAACACTTGTTCAGTTGATGAAGTTGTCAAGGTCATTGACGAGGTGATTGAAGCAGCAATAATTGCTGGAAAATTATTCCCTCATAATTAATTAGAATCTCTTTAATGTATTATGAGCATTGCAGCCACCACTAATCACTTTGTTCTGTGAAAATTTTATTAATTTTATTTATTAATTAACTTCTATGCGTTTTATTGTTTTCGGTTGAAGGTTCTTTCTAATTTGTTGAAATTGGTTCACTGTAACAAGGCTATGGTTAGGTTTTTTCTTAGCACTAGATTTCAATTTCATCGAATATGAGGTTTAGGGTCCTAAATATATTGTTTGAACTGACTGTATCTTGAAATTATGATCGAAATAATCGTATAGTTTGAATTTTTATTTTTAATACCAATTTATATTGAAAATAGAAATCTAAATTATACAATTATTTTAGCACGTAATTTAGAGATAAATAGAATTCATTAACAAGTGTTCAACAAAACAAGAGGATCCATCTTGTTTCGTGTTGGAGACATACTTGACAATGGCCAAGTGCGCTCTCTCTATATATAACCAGCCTTTTCATATGTGGCCATCGTGCTTGGTTTATACATAAATCAATTATTTGAATTTAAGTATTTTGAATCAATTTTTATATTTTATTTTCGAGTTTGCCCCTGAGAATTTGGTTAAGCAACATTCTCAATGATGCACTGGAAGATGAAGACTTGATTAGACAATGGTTATTGAAGGAATTACAGTCTGATGATAAGCTAGAATCAAAGCAGGATCATCAGCATGATGTGCATTCTGTGACTGGTGATGCTCATCCTGTGTCGATGGATGTGCATCCACTGATAATAGCGGGAATTCCAAATTCAAACATTCAAACTTGTACATGTGTTTATACTGATAATCCTCTTTTATATAGTGCTATAAGCCTATTAATAAGGATAGATTAGTCATTTACACTATAGCGGTTACTCAACTCAAACCACCTTAGCATGTATAAATACAGAATCAGAACACCTAATGGCAAAGGTTTTCAGACACATTAAACTCGTTTCTTTTAATTCCCAAATTTGTTCATTCTATTCACTCAAACCCTAAGGACATTTGTGAGCCAAATCTCGCTCATGGTATCAGAGCAGGAGTAATCCTGCCTGATCTGAGCCGAGAAATCACTACTTCTAGTCTTCCGCTGCAAAACCTCACTGGAATTTTGAAAAATGCAGCCGATTCGAGTTGGATGATGCACAGTGAAGATCTTCGATCAGACGAGCTTCAAGCTACAATTGGTCATGCAAGAACTGGAGAAATGGATAAAGGAACCTCAAGACAGAGGAATGAAGATCGGGAAATGGAGGTGTTAATGGAAGAGCAGTTGTAGATTCATGGATCTGATAATCCATGAATGTTTTTGGTAAGCACTCCTTTGACAACATCTAATTACTTGATGTGGAGAATGGCAATGATAACTGCTCTCAATGCTAAGGCTAAGTTAGGATTTATTGATGGAACTTGTAAGAAACCACCAGAAATAAAATTGCTTTCCGTCGCTGGTCTAGAGCAAACAGTATGGTAAGGTCTTGGATATTGAATGCTATTGAACCTTCACAAATCAGTAGTTTCATATATACTGAAGATTCTAAACAGCTTTGGGATATTATAGCTAGCAGATATGGAAAGATCAATGGATCTTTAGGCTATCAACTTAGAAGAGATTTGGCTCTTATTAGTCAAGGAGACTTGAATATGATTGAATACTATAACAAGATCAATAAGCTATGGATGAATATAATCAATGGCGATCTCCAATTTCATGTACTTGTGCCGGAAAGAAACACTTTGATGACAAAGATGCAGAGGATAAAGCATATCAACTGCTTATGGGGCTTAATAATTGCTATGAGTCCATTAGAAATGAGATTCTTAGGATGAATCCACTGCCTCACGTGGATACTATATTTGCAATGGTGTTAAAAGAAGAAACACAGAAGAATGTCAGTACAAGCATGATGATCAAGTTGGAAAACACTGCAATGATGGCAAAGATAAAAAACAATATGGGAAATCAGGCCGGTCTCTTACCAAAACAAATAGCTCCAATACAGCAAGTCCAACAGAACAAGAAAGCAGAAGCAAACCTCAAGGAAATGAAAATGCAGTCTAAGAAAGAAAAGATGAAGCTGTACTGTAATCATTGCAAGAGGAATTAATGGGCATTTAAAGGAAGATTATTTTCTGCTGAACAGATTTCCTGACTGGTGGGGAACACAAAAGGGACCCAAACATACTAAAGCTCATACAGCACACTTGGCGGATACTACTCTTGAGTTGGAAGTTCCACAAAAGGCTCTTTGAACACAGAGTTTAGAAGCAGTGCATCATTGGTCACCACAGTCATCTGGAAGTTTGCAATTGCATGGTCAAGAGAAAGGCAACTGGCAGAACATTTTATCAAGCTTGGTATAAACAGAGGTTGGTAAGCTCCTGAAGGGAAAGGGACCAGCTGGATCAGGACTGTCAGTCAACTATACACACTGCAATGATTTTGCAGTTAGCTTAGTCATTGCTCATTTAAGTTCAAATTTGATTGATTTAAGTTTGTTTTTTAGATAACTGATAGGGGAGCCACAAGACATGTGCTACTCTATTCAAGCCTTTACCACTTTTAAATCAGTAGCTTCTTATACTCCTGTGTTTCTTCCTGATGGAACTGTCAATTGAGTAGAAAACGTAGAAGTAACTCTTTCTAGCAACATCATTCTTACTTCCGTGTTGCATGTTCCCACCTTTAAGCAGAATCTTCTTTCTGTCAGAAAATTAGCACAAACATCAGGAATCTATTTTAAGTTCTTTGATGATTTCTGCTTGTTGCAGGACCTCAAGATTGACAAGGTTCTTGGAGCAGGCACAGTCATCAGAGAACTATACATTCTCACCTCTCGTTCTTTCACAAATACAGCTATTCAACAGTCTCAGACTTTGTATTCAAAATTATTGTTTTCTGTTTCTTGAAGAGTTGATTCATACTTTTATGATTACAGAACAAAAGGACATATTAGTGCCAATGTAAGTGTGGTTACATGGCATAATCGTTTAGGGTATCCATCAGATATAGTGATGAGATATATAGAACCTGTAAGACTGTCTTGGATGATAAAATCAATAACATTTCACATTGTGAAGTGTGTCCTTTTTCAAAGAAACACTGAAATGTGTTCCTAATAGTATAATTCAAACTAGTAGAATATTTGAAATGATCCATCTAGATTTATGGGGGCCATACTGTAAACCTTCTCTTACTCATTCACAATTCTTTCTTACAGTTGTGGATGATTTCAGTAGAAGCACCTGGACATTTCTTCTTAAACATAAAACACAAGTCTATAGTACCTTATGTCACTTCTTCAATCTTATACAAACACATTTTCAATAGAAAGTTCAAATCCTTAGATCTGATAATGGCACAGAGTTTCTCACCCTTGAAACACAGAATCTCTTCTCCCAATTGGGTATAATTCACCAAAAATCATGTCCTTATACACCACAACAAAATAGAGTGGTGGAAAGAAAACATAAAAATCTGCTGCAGTTGGCTAGGTCTTTACACTTCCAGGCTTCAATGCCAAAAATGTTCTAGGGGGAAGCTATATTGGCTGCCACTTTCTTGATAAACAGACTACCTTCTTCTGTCCTTGGGTGGAAAACACCCTATGAGTTACTATATAATAAACCACCTTCACTAAGCCTTCTTAGAACTTTTGGCTGTCAAGTCTTTGCTGTTAATACTAGTCCTCATAAGGATAAATTTGATCCTAGATCCATTCAAGGGGTTTTTGTTGGTTATCCACCAAGGCAAAAGGGCTATAAGATTTATAGTTCTAAACTCAGGAAGATATTCATTTCTAGGGATGTCATTTTTCATGAGCATTTGTTTCCTTACAAGAGCTCTTCAGTCACAAATTCAGATTTAGTACTACCAAACGTGATCACAGATTCTGTTGAAGATCTTTATCATGTTGTTATTTCTCCATCAGAATTTATTCCTTCTTTCCCTGATCCTTCTCCTTCCAGTTCTTCACCATTGCATATACCTACAGATATTGATGTGCCTGATGATCTTTCATTAGATCAGCCTTCCACTCATTTTGAAACACAACATGAACTTCCTTCTTCTCCATCTTTTGTTCCTGATGCTCCAAGAAGGAGTGTTAGAAACAGAAAACCTTCTGTCAGACTTACAGATTATATTCAGCCCCCATCTAAACTTAACACTTCCATATCTTCAGTAACTCCTTCTTCTTCCACATGTCATTTTTCTTCCACACACATGTCTTTTTTGGCAAACTTGTCAGATATTCAGGAACCACAGACTTACAATCAAGCCAGAACTAATGAGAAGTGGGTACTGGCCATGCAACAAGAACTGAAAGCACTAGAAGACAATAAGACATGGGATCTAACACCCTTACCTGCTGGCAAGAAAGCTATAGGCTGTAAATGGTTTCTTCAAGTGTCACTCAGATGGTACTGTTGAGAGATATAAAGCCCGGTTGGTTGCAAAGGGCTACAACCAAATGGATGGCCTGCCTACCAAATGGATGTGAACAATGCCTTCCTTCATGGTCATTTGAAAGAAGATGTTTACATGGTCCCTCCTCCTGCTTATGATAAAGCTGGTACTTCTCTTGTTTGTAAACTGAAGAAATCTCTCTATGGCCTCAAACAGGCATCTAGAGAGTGGAACAGTGAATTCACCTCTCTCTTGATCTCTTATGGTTTCTCTCAGTCTTATCATGACTCCTGCCTTTTTGTCTTGAAGAAACCAGGCTTCCTACTTATTCTCTTGGTCTATGTTGATGACATTATCATCACAGGTTCTCATGAAGAAGAGATCTCTAAGGTAAAACAGTTGTTGGATAAGGCTTTTACTATCAAGGATTTAGGACTTGCAAAGTATTTTCTTGGTATGCAGATTGCAAGAAATGATGCAGGGATGTACTTATCTCAAACAAAGTACATCACTGACTTGCTTAGGGATACTGGCATGTTAGATTCTATCCCCACTGCCACTCCTTTACCTAGGGATCTCAAGTTTAAAAAAAAAGATTCTAAGACTTGTAGGCAGACTTCTCTATCTCAGCTTTACCTGACCTGATTTGACTTATGGCATTCAGCAATTGAGTCAGTTTGTGAATGCCCCTCATGAATCACACTGGAATGCAGCTATGTACCTTCTCATGTACTTGAATGGTACTATTTCCAAAGGACTTTTCTACTCTTTCTCTTCTGATTCTGTTTTCACAGCCTATTCAGATGCAGATTGGGGATCTTGTGAATTCTGCAGACATTCCTTAACTGGCTATTGCATTTTCATGGGCTCTTCTCTTATTTCCTAGAAAACAAAGAAACATGCTACTATTTTGACTTCATCAGCTGAAGCAGAATATAGAGCTATGGCAGCAACTGTTCAAGAACTGAAATGGCTGACTTATGTCATGAAGGATATGTCTATTCCTATTTCTTTCCCTATTGTTTCTTGGTGTGACAGCAAAGCAGCTCTC